CCGCCCACCAGCGCCGAGCCGCCGACGCTGCCTCTGTCTCCACCCACCTCCAGCAACATTGTCGGAGGCGGAGGCAGAGGTGGGCGGCAGTGGCGGCATTGGGCAGAGAAATAACCACCAGCGCCGCTGCTGCCGCCTCTGCCTCCGTCTACCTCTGGCAACATTGCCGGAGGCAGAGATAAGTGAAGGCATTGCCGGAGGTGGCAGCAGACGGTGGCGGCACTGGTGAATAGATTGCAAGAGGAAGAAGATGATCAGTGATTTTGCCCTTTATTGATATTATTTTTCCAAAATTATCCTATTTTTTAAATTATTTTAAAAATATTACTTTTACTAATATTAGACCCCAAATGTTGCCTTTATATGGGCCAACCCCTACCCCTTTTCTGACGCCATAAGGCAAAGAATAATGAAATCCTGAGCATCATAACTTGTCGTTCAGCACCAGTGACCAGAGAAAATAAGGTGTGAGACCACCCCTTAAAAAGAACCAGTGAGGCAGTGCTTGGATACCACTCAAACCTGTAACTGTTCCACTAACACTCTTAATAATTAAGTTGTAATCATACCGCAGACGGATTATCTTCCAAGCAAAATCTCATGGACGGATTCATCTGGTGGTGGGATTTTGCTTAAAGTGGCCACGCGTTTTACTTTAGAACTACTTTTTCCTGAGTTCTTTTTAGGGGAAAGACCAGTGACCAACTCCTTTTTCAGAAGTTCTGAGCTTTGAAATACAGGCACAGAGAGAGAGAGAGAGCAATCTCCAACTTTGTTGTTTTGCCTCGTCTAAACCCTTTTGATTTGATTTGAACTCATGGGTAGTAGTCTCTTCAAGTCTGTTTTTCCGTTCATCGTTTTCTTCTTCGTCTTGGCCATTTCTGAAGGAAAGCCTCATGGATTCTCTAGAGTACTCAAGAAAGAGAAGTTAAGTCACTTCCGCTTGTATTGGCATGACATCGTCGGTGGTTCCAATCCGTCAGCCGTCCAGGTCGCAGCAGCGCCGACTACAAACACGTCGGCCACCTTGTTTGGCACAGTGATGGTGATTGATGATGCATTGACAGAAGGACCCGAGCTGAGCTCGAAGCTTGTTGGACGAGCGCAGGGGTTCTACACCTTGTCGTCACAGAGTGAGGTGGGCTTATTAATGTCCATGAACTTTGCTTTCATGGAAGGGAAGTATAACGGAAGCACCATCACCATTTTAGGGAGGAATGCAGTGTTCACAAAGGTGAGAGAGATGCCGGTGATAGGTGGAAGTGGACTGTTCCGGTTTGCTAGGGGCTATGTTCAGGCTAGGACTCACACTTTCAATCTTAAAACAGGAGATGCCACTGTTGAGTATAATATCTATGTCCTCCATTATTGATCTTCTTTTTCTAGCCTTGTTTTCTCTGTTTGTTCTCACATTTGTAGCAGTGGGGGAGGACATATCCTCACATCCTTTCTCTCTTTCACTCATGTGAAATATTAAAAGTAAAAAAAAAAAAAAATAATAAAGTTTTTAAGTTAGATATCTTTATTTTCCATCATAGAGTTTTATAGATCTCATCCTTACAACCGGTCCCCCTGTTGATATCTCTAAATTTATATTTGGAAAGACATTATTCGAAATTATATTCTAGATTCCTTTTCTTGTTCATCTTATCTTTATCACAAATTTCATGATATTATTCAACCATAAATCCCCCTCCACCCAAAACGTCAAAGACTTAATTTCAAAACATCTCCCATGCACATAATTAATTAATCAAAACATCTATTTTTCTTCAAACATGTCTGTTTTTAAAGCATCAAAAACATCTATTTCAATTATAAAACTACTTAATTACCTCAAATAGTTTATTTATCTTTTTTCCCTAGGCCTAAATAACATGGGGTAAATTGATCTTGTTCTGTAAAAGTCTAAAGAAACTATTGCTCATTCCCATCGGTTATCATCTTTTCTCTTTTTTTATTAATTTAATGTAGATTTGTTTCATGCATTGTCCCTATTCAATAATAGAATGTAACATGAAAAAACATCTGACCTGATTTTTTGGTTATCTCAATCAGTTCAAAATTTGAAATTATTTTTTAACTTGGTGATTTATCTCATTCCAAGTACTTGATTTATGTACTTAAGCTATATAAAAATAAATAAATTTGCAGTTCAATAATTAAAAAAGGAAAAAATATATTTTCTACTGTTTTATATGCAAAAGAAATACAAAATATATAAAAACTTTGGTGAATTGATGTTTACTTCATACTTTTTTCCTTAAAAAAGGCTTTTTTTTAATAGCAGATCATGGGTCACCACTAGGCACTAGTATATACAATAAAAAGAGGAGTGTCTGTGGAGGCCAAGGGTCTCTCACCACAGTCCTCACACTAAGTCTTCCTTTCTCTCATTCTTCACACATGTGAAATATTAAAAATCCTTTTACATCTCCTCATAAACCTAAAATCCCTCTTATGTCTTAATTTTCTCTATATTAAAATCTATCATTATCCTTCTCTAATAAAATTGTTCTTAATTCTCCCCCCTCTCTTCAATAGTCAATGTTTATAACATTTCTTCTCCCCCATTAGATCTCTTATTTCTTATTAAGGCCTCGTTTGTTTTCACTTGGATATGTGAATTTACCTGGGCAAGTATTTTTGAGATAAAATTTGTCCAGGTAAGATAGGTTCTAGCAATTCTTGTGTGATACAAGTTACTTGAGTAAAGGGAAACCTAGGAGGGAGGGGGCGTTATTTTAGCACGGATAAGTTGCTTGCCCACCCTCTAGGAGGGTATTAGTTACCTGAGTAAATGGTACTCTTTGGAATCATCGTTTATCGTGGAACCCAATATTACAGCAAATGAATACCCGATTAACCAACTTACCCCTACTAAATATCGGCAACCGAACATGGCCTAAATATCTTTGAAACTCTTTTGCCTCTTTCTAATAAAACATGGATATAAATAAGATGGATTGTGTAGGGTTAAGAGCCAACCCTAGACTAACCTTGAATATGAACCTTAATTTGAAACCAAATTGATGTAAAATTTTAAATTTACCAAGCCAAACCTATCCAAACTCTATTCAACCCCATATATTTTTCATGGATTTGCTTGCTAATATCCAAAGAATATAAAACTCTCCTTGAACCTCTTAATAACCCGACCCCAAGAAAATGAAAATACATCAAAACTTCATCACCTATTTAACTCAAATACATGGAACACCAACTTCATTTTCAATGATGCGGTTAGGAATTCTAGTCATCTACTTTAAATTAATTAAGGGGCAATACTCATAGATAGAAATTGTTCCAGGTGCTAAGTTTTGGTCATGTATGGCATCTTTGGCAAAGGTATTAAACATCGAATATTGCCATTTATCCTAAACCCCATAATTTGAACCTAAGTATGACAGCTCCATACACATGGACCTTCTATATCAGGCCGATGCATGTGCCTTATTATGATTGGTCCATTATTAGAAGATTCCAAGTGGTTGATAACCCTAACCTAGGTTATGATTATATGGAGACTAAATCAGCCCCCCACAACGTCCCACAGCACATCCTGTTGTGTATTGGGATTATCTCCCAATGATAATTTAAGAAATGATGATATCATCATCGGGAGATGTTTTCTATACATCAAAATATCTACAATGCTTTTACTATTTGTTACCACTAACAATAAGTTCACCTCTTCCTTATATTAGGGTTGTTCATCAAAAACAAAAAAACCCAACTAAACTGACAAAATTGAATCGAAAGTTTTAGTTAATTGAACTGACCCGATGAAATGATCAATTCTGTATATTTGAAAGTCGAAAGTACTGGTTTGATTTCAGTTAACCAATATGAATATTAGTTTTGATTTGATTTTGATTCATGGTTTTCCAAAAGTCAATAATGCCAATTTAGTTTGGAAAATAGGCTTATGGTTCGGTTAACTAGAGAGTGAGCACCCCTACACCTTGAATTATCTCAAGCAAGGTAGTACTTTTGATCCCATAGCCATTGTTTATTTTAAGTGGGCTCTCTACAATTTTTATTCATTAACTTCTATAGAAATTAAATATCATTTTCATACTTACCCATAGGATACTACAGTTGTACATTGGTAACATCTTCCCATAATGGTTACATGTAAATAGAGAAGACACCTCCCAATATACAGCTCTAATGTCTAGGTACGGGTAGGAGATCCCGATCTTGCTTAAAACCTCTTAGAGATTACGTGTCCGTTTGGTGTATTTTTCACACAGTCTTTTGACTGTTTACAAGCCAGGAAGACCGAATCGGCCTATTCTCGTTTGGCATGTGAAAGATCTTGCTGCCAAAAGACACGACACTGAAAAGATGCGAGAAACCTATTTTGAGCTGAATTTGAGAAGCTCCAAATGAAGTTTCTCGAGTCTTTTTGCAATTGCACTAGGCATATTTATTTTTCATACTTTCCAAATGGAGCAATAGATGCATTTTCATAAACAAAATTAGCACCCCTCACTTTAATTTGCAATTTAGCCCAGTTTCTAGGGGTGCTCACGGTTTGGTTAACCAAACCGTGGGGCTTTTATTGTAACCGAACCATTAATACCAGTTTTTAGAAAATTGGTAACCAAAACCAATCGGTTAACCTGTTGATCGGTTCAGTTCATTGATTTTTTTAATTTTTACAATATATATTATAAAAATATATATAAATATATAATAAAAAATTGAAAAAATATATAAAATATTATATTTTAAATAATAAATAATATATCATATATTATAAACATGTATATATAATGCATATTTATTAATTTATAATATATAAAATATATAAAATATATAATATACATAAGTATATATATTTATAGAAATATATCCGGTTGGTTCTGTTAACTACAGTTTTCTAAATAAATTAACTGAAACCAAACCGATACCTTTAGTTTTTAAAAACATCGAACCAAAACTGAACCAATCGTTACAGTTAACCGATTTTCCGATTCGGTCAATTTGGTTTTTCCATTTTTTTTGCTCACCCCTACCAGTTTCATGCTTATATTCTAAAAGATACGTATAGAGGGGCTTATTTCGAGCATATGACAGGTTCTTTTAGGATGAAAAATTGTTATGTGAAGATAGGAATAGAATGAAGAGAAGAAATTAAATCAAAACTGACTCCTTAACTCTAAATTAATTAAATAATTTACCACCTTAAATAAGTGCTTATTCCAATAAACTCTTAATAACACGCACTTCCAAATATGAGCATAGACTTTATACATTTAGAAAAATAGGGTCTAAACCAAATCCCACTTAACGAACCAGTTTCCAAACCAAGAATATCTAATAACGGCTGGATATACTTTAGTCACTTGGATACCACTCAAACCTGATCCACTGAGTCACTAGCAGTCCCCCCTAAAAACTTAGCTGCAATAATACTTCTATCTTCCATGTACATTCTCATGGAGGGATCTATCTAGTGGTGGGTCTCTCTCTCAGATATCGAACAAGTTTCAAGTTTTTTTCTTTTTGTGAAAAAAAACTTTGAATCTATTTGGTTCATGAGAATATGGGTCCATTCTAATTCCAACTAGGTTGCATGGAATTCGAATCATATTCTCATTCTGTGGAATGGTATATTATCAAGAATTTAGATTCCAATTCTGATTCCGACTGCCAAACAAACGGACCCCTATGCAAACAGGGGATCAAGGTTGTGATCCTACCTTATTTTACTGGTACTGTAGCTTGGTTCCCGGTACCCTATAATAATAATAATAATAATAATAATAATAATATATTATTATTATTATTATTATTATTATTATTATTATTATTATTATTATAATAGTTCCCTGTTAGCTTAAAGTAATCACGCGTTTTCCTATGGACCTACTTTCTACTATTTTTTTTTTCTTTTTTGGAAAAAGACCAGCGACCAACTCCTTTTCCAGAAGTTCTTCTGAACTTCAAAAAAATACAGAAATGCAGGCAGAGAGACCATTTTCCAACTCTGTTGCTTGGCCTCGTCTAAACCCTTTTGATTTGATCTCATGGCTAGCAGTCTGTTCAAGTCTGTTCTCCCGTTCATCATTTTCTTCTTCATCTTGGCCATTGCTGGAGGAAAACCTCATGGATTCTCTAGAGTCCTAAGTCCAGCAGCACTAGGACTCAAGAAGGAGAAGTTGAGCCACTTCCGAGTGTACTGGCATGACGTCGTCAGTGGTTCCAATCCGTCAGCCGTCCAGGTCGCCGCAGCACCGACTACAAACACGTCGGCCACCTTGTTTGGCACAGTGTTTGTGATTGATGATGCATTGACAGAAGGACCCGAGTTGAGCTCTAAGCTTGTCGGACGAGCGCAGGGGTTCTACACCTTGTCGTCACAGAGTGAGGTGGGCTTATTAATGGCCATGAACTTTGCTTTCATGGAAGGGAAGTATAACGGAAGCACCATCACCATTTTAGGGAGGAATGCAGTGTTCACAAAGGTGAGAGAGATGCCGGTGATAGGTGGAAGTGGGCTGTTCCGGTTTGCTAGGGGCTATGTTCAGGCCAGGACTCATACTTTCAATCCTAAAACAGGAGATGCCACCGTTGAGTATAATATCTATGTCCTCCATTATTGATCTTCTTTGTTTCTCTCTTTGTTCCCACATTTGTATTTGCACTATTTCCAGCAGGACAATTTGTGCCTTAAGACTGTATTTTTATGAAATTACTTTATCAATGAAAGCTGCTGAAACTTGCTTATTAATAAATGGCAGCAATTGGATCATAAATAGCCTAGACTTTCTCAGTTTTCATAAATTGCTGATCATTTTGTTTTTCCATTTTATGTCCGATTCTTTCCAAGAATTTGCTTTAGGAGTTGGGTTCGTGTTTCAATAATCAGATTCTGAAAAAAAAAGGGCCTCTGTTCCTTGCACCCATTAGACGAATGAGTCTCCTTCAAAGGTCAAAACAAAGATCAATTTGTCAGAAACAGAAAGCATTTCATATTCAGAGCTGTCAAACAGCTTGGAGCCTGTAATTACTTATTCGCATGTATTCCATATTCAGACGACCGGAGCTCAACATGGGAATTCAATACATGGTGAGCTATGGGGAGCCGGCAAACAAACACCCAAGAGACTCCCGGCTGTTTACTGATCAAATGACACCGACGGCCAAATTGGGTGTCGGTGTCCTGTCAACATGGGAGTCCGGATCTGCAGTCAAATAGCTCTTTTTGAAATTTCTGAATGGGAGAAAGTCAGGAATAGCGTCAACGAGACACTTGTAAGAGCCCCAAGAAAAGAAGAAGAAGGCATCTCCACCTCCGGCGAGTAATGGTGTGTAGTCTGAGAATTATGACAAAGACCAATTCCCAGCTGAAACTCCCATGCCCAATCTGTCTCAATTCAGGCCAGAACTTGCTTGTTTGGCTGGGCAAACCATCCGCTTGTCTTGCAGGAATCGGAATGTCGAACCATTTGGTTGGGTGGAATCGGAATCTATTCCTGGTGGAATGGCATTCCCTCCCCTCCCTTGCGAATGAAGATCCATTCCAATCAATTCTGATTCCACTCCGATTCTTGGCCTGAACCAAACAAACAAGGGAAATATACCATTCTGGAGGATTTCAAGTCCAATTCTTACAAGCAAACCAAACCCCAGTCCAAACTAGTGAAAGAGGGGGTGTCTAACATTAATTAGATGGGTCAGCTCATATGTAATATTGTCAGTATCATAAATCAAAAGAAAAATAAATGAAGTGGTAAAAAAAATAGGAACAATGTTCATAGTATCCATGCCTTTGACAGTGAATATCTATCAAATTGTCATTGTTTAAACTTACAGATGTTCTTAATACATAATAATTAGGGTCCGTTTGGTTCGCAGTAATAGGGGTCTGAAATCGAAATCGGAATGGTCCATGCATTTGGTTGGGCGGAATCAGAATCGATTCCCATTTCGGACGGAATGGCAATCCCCCATTTTCGGAAATGGGCCATTCCTGACCCACCCCCCGGAATCGGAATGTCATTCCCGCTCTTTCACGTAAAAAAATCAAAATGACAAAAAAACCCTCAAACCTCTCCCTACCCGATTCCAACTTTCAGAACCGAAACTCCGGCGACTGTAACAACAAGGTAAATCACCGTTGATTTTTTCTCTCCTATTTCCTATTCTTCTTCTTCCTCTCCTTCTCTCTCTCACACTTTATTTTTTTCATTACTCCCCAGTTTTTTCACTGCAAACCCGACCAGACCATAGCAAGGTAAGTTTTATTTTGAAGCTGATTCATGATCCCTTAAATTAGAGGATGAAACAGATTTTGTATTGCAATTTGGCAAGTTAAATTCCTTTTCTCATTTTTTCTACTTTCGAGAGGTAAAATCTCTGAAAATTCCGCTCGTTCTATTTAATAGGCTGAACTATATAGAGCTCAAAAGGTAGTTTCCTCTTCTTCTCTCCTATCTTCTTCTTTCTTTTTTCCTTCTATTTTCTGCTATTATTCTAATCAAATTATACCATATTTATAGCCATTAGTTGCTTACCTTCTTTGATGAGATGTCCTGATGCCCATGGACCTGAAACATTTGAAGAGAGCCATTATATGAGAAGTTCACCTTTCTCGAAGAAGGAAAAATTATATAAACTGGGATATAGTATATATAATAGGGCTTTGACTGTATTGATTAGAATAGGGATGGCATATGGGTGCATTCAGGCTTAAAATAGAGAGAGCAGATACAAGCATTTCAAAGCTGCTGCTTATGGAGGTATAGAAGCTATGGTTTGTAAGGAAAAATCTAGGCATTCCATGAAAAAACAGTGGTATCTGGTAGGTGCCATGTTTAAAGATGGCTGCTGCTAAAATTCAAGAAAACATAAGGGTGATTTTATGTATATTAATTTTCTTTTCCAAATTTTAGAGCTAAAAATGTGATACTATAATCTTGTCATTTTCACTTGCACAGCCTTATGGTTTACTATTCCAATGGTGGATCCTAGTAACCTGTATATATGTATTATGTGGTAAGTTACAGGGTACCAGGTTGAAGTATATTGAAATATGGGGGCACCAAAATCACAACCTCCTCTTAACCTCCTTCGTTAGCTCATAGTTGGGGACTTGTGCTTTTGGTCAATTGTCACATATATTAGAGCACTTATCTTCTTCCAACACTCCAAAGAAGTTAAGTTGTTCTAAAGGCGGACCAAACATCTGGAAGAGGAATAGGGAGATGACACAGAACAGATAACACTCCACTGGGGATGCTTTTCAAATTTCAACTAACTTGTCTTTCCTTGACATAGGGAGAGAGATTGATTTAT